ATAGTGCCCATTTTTGAGAAAAAAATTCAGAGGTTCAATAGACCCTGTAGGAATGGTGAATGCGCAGCACCGAACCTCTGCAGGATCGGAACCAGCCCAGGCCAAATTAATCATCCTTCCCTCCGACTACCATCTTGGAGTAGTACGAGTTCTATTCATATGTATTAATACATTGACTCCAGAATCGGCTTCTTCAATATATTACAACATCCGAATTCCGAATGGAAAACAGATGCATGGCGCACTCCAGAGAATCTTACCAGGGTTTACATTTATATTTTCTGAATCCAATCAAAATCAAAATATCCGCCAACCTTGGAAGTGATGTCCTCAAAACATGCCACTTGTCGGAGTATGGCCGTCTTACCGACGCGTCGTCCTCCTACTACAACTACTCGCATCGCACGACCCATACAAAGAGGAGCTGCAACAGCTAAAATAATCAATACCTATATTTTTCACGCATTTGACCAGTATTCACAAAAGTTCAAAAACCGCGACAAATACTTTCTAGCGGACTCTATGAATATTAATGACTTTGATTGCATAATCCTCGCTATGCAAATATGCGCCACGTAAGGTTTAGAAAGTCCAAAATAATGAAAAATGAAGGAATAAATGAGAAACAAAACAGTATGAAAAATAATAAAAAATAGAGTTTAAAGAAATAAAACCGTCCCAAAAAAAACTAACCACTCTTCGGCGGATGTGCAGGACGTGTCAGCAGTTCATACGTAGAGGAACTCACGCAACGTTTCGCCGGTGAGGTTTCCGATGGCAGATAATCGGATTCTGAACACGGTAAATATTTTTAAAAAGTACACAAATATCTTCAAGTCAATAAAAAACCACATAAATCTTTAGATTAACATTTCGTTCATGTCATGGTAAACAGTGACATACTGTAATCACTTTATAACACCAAAAAACTGGTTTCGAATTCACGATTACTGTATCATTTGGCTGTGTGACATTAGGTCCAATTGTTCATCTATGTGACTTTGACACTCTTAGCGCGGAAAATGAACCATAAGGTGTATCAACGAGTCATGGTTATTTTCAGATTCGAGGAAATAGGGGAGCAAGCTCCCACGATGGATCATGGTACGCGCATTACTAAATCGTCTCCTTTAACGCAGCGCCGCCGCGCCAGTGGTGACCAAAATGCCCCAAACCGGGACCGGAACTGACCGCCCCCACACCCGTTTTCAATGGACCTGCCGCCGCCTATATACCCTCAGCCTATGCTCTAATTTCGTGTGTGAAAACCAAAGCGCAAAACCCTAAAACAATTTTCCTTGTTTCTACGCCCCTCTTGAACACACTTACTGATTAGCTTTGTCGCATCCAAATCACTTTAGATGAGTATGTGATCGACTCTCTGCCGCTCTTCTCAAGCAGCAGGAAGGCTTATACTAAATCGCTACTGTGTGGCCCTGGTATTAGGTTAAGTGGTCTTCTCAAAAAGACAAAAAGCACTCACTCGCAGACCGTCCTTGTTTCGCGCGAGCTTCCACACCATTGAAGATGTACAATGTTCCCAATAAGAAGCTTTTCATACCTGATACTGCTGCTCTAATAAAATATTCTGTGTGGTATATTGTATATTGGGCGCCAGAGGGCGCTCTCCCTGTCCGCTCAAATCAATCCCCTGTTTTTTCCCCTTTCCCACTCCCAGAGAACTCACAACTATCGCAGTATACAGGGGCATGCTCAACAAGAAGCCTAGAAGGGGCAGAAACATCGCGGAAAAAATGCTGATGCACTCTAGATTATCCCTTCCTCTACCTGAAGGCTCAGTCCCGTTTGGCAAAAACGAAATGTCTGACGCATTTTGAAATGCCTTGCCACCACAATGCCCCCGTATCTTGCGATAGCGCCCTCAAATCTTTCCCACCGGCCCTAAAACCCATCCCGTACATCGGCGCTGAAAACGATGCCACATTGAGCCAGCGCACAAAACAGAACAGGTTGCTCTAGGCTGTTGTAGAACCCCGTAACGAGATTCCATGAAGCACGCCCATAACCCATCACATCTACAGTTCAAATGGACCGTAATACTGCCGATATCCGTCATCCTCGGTATTATGCCATTAACACGCCCTATTAGCGAACAATTCATCGGATTTATTCGATTATTGGACAATTCCAGGGAATACCGTACTTTTCAATTATTCAAGCATATAGAAAGACATGGAGATTTCAATAAAAAATAACAAATAAATATAAATGAATAAATAAGTTGTAACATTATAAAATAGCCTAAACAGTAAAGTTGGTTCAAAGGCGTGAGTCAAGGGGATTCCAACGCGGGTTGGAGGAGGGTATGAATACACAAGTTGCGAGTGAGACTAGTGGCGAATTTCCGGACGACTTAGGATTAAAATTTATAAGGAAATGGGTATGCCCCATTTGAGAAAGGCGGAGGAGGCGGAGGTCCAACTCGTCAAAAAATTTCCTCGACCTAAAACTTTGGCTCCTCTCAGGCCAGATTAGCGTGTTTGGTAAAAGCGTAGCCCAGCGCAGAAAGGAAATGCGCTGCATCCTATCTACAGCGCTTGTGAGATCAACTCCCACCAAGGGACAGTCGAAGTTCTCATTTCTCCGGTTCTAGCTATTAGCCGACGGGAAAACTGCCGAAGAAAACCCATTACTTCAATCTCTGATATGCAGTACCCATTGAAATGTTCCCAATGGGAACCGAGTGCATGGCGCATCCCATCCTAGCGCGAATTGACCCCTACGAATGAGGAAGTTTCGAAGAATAAACATGAGATCGACTCAAAAAGCTACATATGGATCCCGACTGTCCGTTTATTTCGCTTTTGTGCGGCCGTCAGGAAGACTGTTTACTTGAAAAGTAGCAAAAAATGATTCAAACTGTGAAAAAGAACCATCTGCGAGGCCACCATTTATCTGAAAATGAGATCGTAGACTAGAAATGGTCTTGAAGAAAAGAAACATTAGGAAGCCCATCGATTACATGCAAGACAGGTATAGATATACAAAAAGAAGAAGGCAGTCGGCACCAATCAACCCTTTTTTGGATACGCCATGCCCTCCGGTTTGACGGAAATTAACAGATGTTTGGTTTGAACTGGCGTCAAAACAGCCACTCTTTGAAAAGTGACGATTAAACATGTGACACCCTCATCACTGCTCATATGTTTAGTCTCCAAAAAAACACACAAGCGAATTAAATTATTATATATTTGGAACTTAAGGTAAACCGATTCTGGATTGTCTAACTTCTGTTTTGCATCGCAGTCCAATGCGAAATTCAAATCACAGGAGTTAATTACGGGCAAACATTTCGCCCAAGCAACATTCGAGCCCGGCATTCCTCAGTTACTAGGCACCATAAAAGGTCAAGGCTGCCTGGTGGCTTAACAAGGCCCAACCAGGATACACATTCAACCTTGACTGCAGATTTTTTTACGGTAGTAAATTGGTCATGTTTTGCAATTCATTTTATGTGATAATCAATTAAAAAATCGCTGAAGCGGTTTTCTATAAGGTCTTGAAGCGAGATGATGCGCCTTTAGAACGGTGAGGCGTGGCGAAGAATCGATGTCGAATGCCAAAAATTAAGGAAAAAAAAATAGAAAAAAGGAACTCTTCCCTACAAAAAAATCATAAATTCCAAATAAAAAATAAAATATAAGAGCACAAAAAATTCGAAAATCAATAGAAATTTGAAGGAAATACATCAATACACTTATCCACCTAACTTTTACTCATTTTGACAACTGGGGCCTGAATAGATTGAGAACGTTTGTCCATAAAAAACCATCACAATATTAAAACCAAAAGCATTAGGTGCCCACATGCGCGATTTATGGGACAAAAACAAAATTACGGCTCATCACACCACCAAATTGCTTATGGATCGCTTCCTCTAGCAATTTGAGTGTCTCTAGGTCCCAGAAACCGTGCAGGCTTTCCCTACCAGAAACCCTGCAATTATTGGAGATTCGTATCTCCGAAATTGACTTCACTCCCAAAAAGTCACTATGCTCCAAAACCTGACAGAAACTCAACGCAAAATGTGGCTGGAGGAAATTGAGCACCCGAAAAAACAGGACGCTACTCTGAAGCTCTTCATGCGCAACTTCTGAGACACAAAAAAGTTCAATATGACGAAAAAAATTCACCATTAGACGGGGTATTCGGTGGCGATGGCACATCAAGACTATGATAGGATGGCGCTAAACATGACACCACACGATGTCGACTGCTTGACCGGGAACGCAGACGAAATGTCATCCGTTTGGCGATTGTGGTTGACATTTTGCACAGTCAATACAGTACTGCAACGACCTGCAGTAGCACCAATCGGCCAGAATACAAGCGAGAACAGTCGCTGTTGAAGAATTGCTCTGTTCCAGTCGTCCACTCGAATATGGCAAGTTTGGCGGACGAATATTGACACTTTTACGGTAGCTAGCCCGAGTTTTTTGAGCTCAGGATCGCTCTTAGGCACCAGCTTATTGTCCACTTATTTCGATGGCCTCCGCCTGGTCACTTATTCTTCTCCTGAAGTGCCAATCGCTCGGATGCTAGATTGGCACGATTGAAGGGGTTGACACGAGTAAAGCTCAAGGATTGACGATGGCCGGGTTCCTGCTTATCGATTGATCCCAGAATCACGGGGAAAAAAGGAAATTACGTCGTGCAGCAGACGATAACGGATTGTGAGAACGTCGAATGCCAATGAATCACCAAGTACACAGCCACAAAAGCGCACACACACACGACGACGTCCTGATTCAATAGTGAAGTGATTCGCCCGCGTGTGGCCAAAACAATAGGAGCAGTCTGCAATGTGATCAAAGTCCAGTTAATCGGGAAGGTTTCTTCCAGCGTCGCCGTTGGTACCGGTGCAACGGATGCGCCAAAGGCAGGAAAAAGCAGCTCCGAAAAGCTGGCCGGTTTCCTTGACAATACGAAGATTGACGAGTCTCAAGGTGGAAGAAGTAGAATAGGGCTAATACTGCGCTGGTAGGGTTTTTCCAGGGGGCGTGGCTGGTTGGCTGACGTGGGAACTCGTCCTTAGCAGACGATGATTGCCATATCAGTGCGTCTTTGTCGAAAGCGAGATCGGCTGACAGCGGCAGGCTGGCTGGCAATGCGCTAAGGTGGGTGGTGCCTATGGACGATGACGGTGCAGCCCGCCGTCAGCCACACGCCACATAAAACACCTCCCGACCGATCGCTGCTGCGGCACGCTCTGAACACAACCTGATTTCACGTTTCCGTTCACTGACGCACTGTGAAGAAAATCATAACTGCGCATGTAATTGCTGGGAAATTGCCGATAATTCTAAGCCATTATCAAACGAGAGCCGGTAGAATCGTGTCGAGATGAGTCTCGTCCTTGAAGCTGCCTTCTGCGGGCGGCCAAGTTTTTGGGTTCCTCAGCCTTTCCAAATAACCACACAATGACAACTTGCTAGGTGACTACGAAGTATGTGATAAGAAACAGGGCTCGACGCTGATCAAGCCCTGTTTAACTGCGCCATGCACTCGAATTTTGCTCAATAACTCGTAGAGGTATGGGTATTGGGTATAGAAATGGCATTCTGTATTATCAGACTTTAAAACGAAAAGAGCTGCATAGGATAGGGAGTTGTGCTGATGTAGTGATATCGACTGATAGAGAGGATAAAAAATGATAAATGTTTGCTGTTTTGTTAATGGTCTTCGCGATGTGCCATGCACACTGCTGTCGACTCAGAAAGCGTTGAGCTTGAGTAGGTTTCCCCTGCTTTGCAGTAAATACGCCGGACAGGCGTATCCGGCCAGGTGTCCGTTCAAACCTTCCCACTTAATACGCGCGCAGCTACAATTGCCTAGGCTCTCTACAAGTCTGTGAAGAATAGCTCAATATGTGAGCATACCTAAGACAAAGCCTTATTCCCAGCATAGGCCGCTTCAACTATAGTTAACTTAGGCAGGAGAGAATGAGTTACTCCAGCCAGCTTCCTAGCTTTCCTAACCGTTCAGTACATCCGGCAAATCCAATGACTGACACCGAAGATTTGGGACGATCATTAACTAAGCAAATCGTCGTGTGAGCGGCGGAAACCTAACTAGACCCATTTGCCTTCAGATATGATATTGTATAATAAAGAGAAAGGCGGCTCAATTGATACGTAAATATTAATAAAAAAAACACTAAGATCTAGCAATATCAATAGTTAACACCGCCCTGATGAAAGGACCATGAAGCTTCTCACTAGTGAAATCGGACTAAAGCAGTGGAACGATGTGCTGGAGAGAGCTGTTTCCTGTTGCTATCTATGAAGTGCATATGTGAAAGGGCTCTAACCAGCGTATCACACCATCAGCTGAGAAACCTAGTTCGGAATGACGTCCATTGACGACATCACAACCGTTCCACTTTCAGCATCGTGATCACTGCCTTTAAGTCCGAGTTACTATTGCTAGTACCAAGAACCCTTCCCTTTCCCGAACCAACCATAATGTGAATTCTTATTGAAAAAGAATTATTCTATGGATTCTTGAGGTGGAAACTGCTTCATGTTCAGCCTCTCACTTGAGAATAGAAATAAAATTATGCTTCTGGTCTCGTTCCAGCTTTTTAGATAGGTTTTCCAATCATTCAAGCTTACGACACATTGTTTCAAAAGTTCCCAGCAATTCCACGAGAACTCGTCCTATTAACAATAGAAGCTTTGCTCTCACTCTATGCATATGTCAACATTCAACTAACAACAAAACCTGCTCATCGTTACACAATCGAAGGACGAGTTTCAACACACGCATTCATTGCCGCGAATAAAATTCCGAATTTCAAATGAGCGTGAAAACTAGACCAGGAAACACGGGTGATGCTATGGGAACACATCAGACCATTCGACCGACAACAACAAAAGACCCATCAAAGAATCTACCCAGAGGGACGAATCAGATATGTTCCTTTCCCTTTACTTCATTGAATAGCCAAAAGAGGAAAAAGGCTATTTTCTAGTATCGGAGGGTTAGGGATATTGGGTGCAAAGCACCTAGAGCATTCAAAACCACGACCAAAATCTTCTTCTATGATCAAATCAATGGGTAAGCCACGTCCCACGGAATGCTCGACCCTTTTCTGTTTGGAGGAGTTGGTTTACCCATGACGTAGCTCACCCACCACCTTAACCCTGGATCCCAATCTTCCTCCACTCCTCCTCCCCCCCCCCCCCCGGTAAGACAACTAGCGACATCTCCGGCATTAAAATATCAAAGAAATGGCGAAGAAAGGGAGCACGTAACATCTCGTAATGGGCGCTTTCATAGTCGACTGCCCGTAAAGATTGCACAGCATTAGATACGTATCGATCGCCCGATCCGATCGGGCGTGTCGAACGACAGAACGATCGATACACATCTAATGCAATGCGATGATATGATCGTTACCATCGCACGACGTACTATGAAAGGCCCTATAGAACAAGTAGTGCAAAATTAGGATTACCGTAATTCGTACGAACTATTGCACCAAAACGCATACCCTACTGGACAAATGCGGAGAATAGATTATCGCGTACCACAAGGATTCACACGCGGAGGACAAATACGAAATCGCTGAACCAGATGCATATGCTTAATTATAGGGGGCAGCTACGCAGTTCTTGTCGACGTTCCGAAGGGATAGTCATAAATAGATTACCACTGATCTAGATGTCCGAAAATCTCTTTTTTTTCCTGAGCATATTGCACGATCAATTTCCAAACGACGAAATGTTCACGTCGATCAATTCGTTGGGATGGGCCGTGTACTCGCCTTCCCTAAGGGACTGTAAACCGAATGCGTACCGAAATTAACCGACACTCGCGTCCACACACTTCTTCTCAGATGACCACTAGCCCAACACCGACTTACTGAGACTCAAAGCTCGATTACATTTCCTGGTTTTACTGTAAAAATTTGAAATTCAAAGAGCATTTCGAAACCACTGACGCGTTGAACGGGGCCAGCTGTTCTCACGATTAAATGCAAAAAGACCGTGACTTGGTCGTCGAAAAGATCAATTTCGAGTGATCAGAGCTTACAGAATCGTAATTTGGATCACCTGAAAGTTTTCTCAAAACGCTCTGCGGGATAGGACATTCGAACCGTGAAATCTCTGAACGCTCATAACTACAGAATCGTGAAATAATTACGGCCCTCTGAAGCCAGAAATGGGTCCAGAAGTTCGATCATCGTCGGTGACAAAATTTTTTGCAATTTTGATTGAACTTTCACCAAATTCGCGCAAAATGGAGTAAGCATGAATAATTAGTACCAAATTCATAATTAAAAACGTCAGTAATACAAAATAGACTTGATTGAAAACTGGTGAAAAAGGTGTGACTAGGGACCCCTTTTCTGGTATTCAGAGAGCCGTTCAGGAAAACTTACCATGGTTCTGTGGTTCCCGCATGTGCCCCTAAATCATGCAAAAGACCGTTTTGAGAAAGCTTGGCACCCTGAACGACCCTCCCTTGTAAGCGATTGAGGAATGAGCAAGCAGTCTTTGATCGAGACCTGCGTGCCTCAGTTGCTAGCACAGGCGTTGAAAGTTATAAATCCGCTATCACTTTCAAGCGCAATAGTACATCAGTTCAATCTCGTACTTTGCCTTTAAGTTCCAGAGAGCGCGAATGCAACACTTTCTTCGCCCAGAACTGCAGTATGGTGGTGTTTGGACCGCTGCATGCCTCACAGTTGGTTGCTCTCACCTTCATCTGCACATAGAAAGCCCCAGTGTAAAGCGGCACAGTGCCCAATTAACGCCTATGCATTCGATACAGCAGAAAATGGACCATCTTGAAAAGCCAAAATGCGGATGCATCTAGCTTTCTGTATCTCGACCGTGATTTAGTGTTGGTCCATACTTTCTGTGCCGAATGCCAGGCATTTAATTGGCGCACGGTGCTCTTTACTACTGCTGGCTTTCCACTGTTTAAGTGAAGTGTGAAGCGCACACCAAAAAAACAGGCATGGGCCTAGCGGCACCGACCAAATTATGTAAAACGCCGCCTACGTGCAGCTTTCGGGAATGTGTCATATGCCGCTCTCCGTGGACTTCAAGCAAAGTCCGAGATGAAAATGAATATAAATACTGCGCCTTGAAAGTGATAGCGGATTTATAACTTTAATGCCTGTGCTAGAAACTGAGGCACGCAGGTCTCGATCAAAAACTGCTTGCTCATCCTCAATCGCTTACAATGGAGGTCGTTCAGGGTGCGCCAAGCTTTCTCAAAATGGTCTTTTGCATGATTTAGGGTACTGCGGGAATCCA